GCATGGGGGACCACCACGGGGTGAGGAAGGGGCTTAGAAGCATTTTCGGTGGACAATGGATGGTCCGGCCTCGTCGTACTCGGGTTTGCTGATCCACATCTGCTGGAAGGTGGAGAGGGACGCCAGGATGGAGCCACCGATCCACACCGAGTACTTCCGCTCCGGTGGGGCGATGATCTGCCAAGACACGAGCCGTTAGGATGCACTCCCTGATCCCCCCCGCCATCAAACCTGCACCAGGAGAGGACTGGGAGCGTTGGCGGCCATGGTTTTGCCCTACCACCACCTACTTTGATCTTCATGGTGCTGGGAGCCAGCGCCGTGATTTCCTTCTGCATGCGGTCGGCGATGCCGGGGTACATGGTGGTGCCGCCGGACAAGACGTTGTTGGCGTAGAGGTCCTTGCGGATGTCGATGTCGCACTTCATGATGGAGTTGTAGGTTGTCTCGTGGATGCCGGCTGACTCCATGCCTGGGGTGGAAGGGGGCTGTCACCACCCTGACCCCGACCCGTGCCTCCTCAGGGCTCCCGAAAGAGCCATGGGGTCATCCATGGGTTTGTCCCCCGCGTTTGGGGTGCAAAGCGCTTGGGGGAGACCCGAAACACCTCTGCAGGGCACTCATGGGAGCTGGTTGTCCACTGGTGGGATGGTGGGGATGGGGGACAACCACCTAGGGGGCAGCCAGGACCATTGGGGATGGGCTCACCGATGAAGGAGGGTTGGAAGAGGGTCTCGGGGCAGCGGAAACGCTCGTTCCCGATGGTGATGACCTGCCCGTCGGGGAGCTCGTAGCTCTTCTCCAGCGAGGAGGAGGAGGCTGCTGTGGCCATCTCGTTCTCGAAGTCGAGGGCCACGTAGCAGAGCTTCTCCTTGATGTCGCGCACAATTTCCCGCTCGGCTACAGGGGACGACGGTGAACAGGCTCAACCTGGTGCCGTGGTGGCACCGCAGGGTCCCCCCTCACCCCCTAACCCCCTCCGTGACCCCATACCGGTGGTGACGAAGGAGTAGCCCCTCTCAGTGAGGATCTTCATGAGGTAGTCGGTGAGGTCACGGCCGGCCAAATCGAGACGCATGATGGCGTGGGGCAGAGCGTAGCCCTCATAGATGGGCACGTTGTGGGTGACGCCATCCCCGGAGTCGAGGACGATGCCTGGGAAGGGGGAAGGAAGGTGAGGGATGGGGCTCGAAGCCACCTTGGTCCCTTCCCCACCACGGATGGACCCCGGATGGTAGATGCCGCATGTCCTACTCACCGGTTGTGCGGCCGGAGGCGTAGAGGGAAAGGACGGCTTGGATGGCGACGTACATGGCAGGGACATTAAAGGTTTCGAACATGATCTGGGAGGGAGGGTGAGAGGGGCAGCGGGTTAGGGGGGAGCACGGGGGTCTCCAGCGCATCCCACCCCAATCCGTGGTGCCTTCCTGGAGGGATGGAGTCAGCGCGTTGGGTGGCAAAACACGTGGATCGTCGCATTGCGCGGAAAAATAGGTGGCTCATTGCATGGCACGGCCATGCCGGGTCAACGCGTTGCACAGAACGACGCGGGGAGTGCTGCGCTGCACCGAAACCCATGTGGGGCAGCGCGCACGGCGTGGAAAGGTGAGTCATCGCATCGCACAGAAAACCACGTGGGGTTGCGCGTGGCATGGAAAAATAAAACCCAAAAACATGGGTCAAGGAGTCGCGTGGCAAACCCGGGGGTCCAAGCGCCACATGCAAACCCGCCGCCGAGAGCTCTGACCTTCTCAAAGCACCAAGCTTCACCCCACCACCCCGTGCCGGTCCTTCCTGCCTCGCTAAACCCCCAAATTCCACCAGTCCCTTCCTGTGGTTTCGGAGTGTCCGTCCCCATCCCCGGGGACCCCGCAGCACCCTTACCTGGGTCATCTTCTCCCGGTTGGCCTTGGGGTTGAGGGGTGCCTCGGTGAGCAGGGTCGGGTGCTCCTCGGGGGCCACGCGCAGCTCGTTGTAGAAGGAGTGGTGCCAGATCTAAGGCGGGCAAAGGAGAATTGGGGTTTTACCCCAAACCGGAGGCGGGACCAGTACGCGGTCCCCATCCTGCCCCCCTCTGTGGGGGGTGTGTCTCACCTTCTCCATGTCATCCCAGTTGGTGATGATGCCGTGCTCGATGGGGTACTTGAGCGTGAGGATACCCCTCTTGCTCTGCGCCTCGTCCCCCACGTAGCTGTCTTTCTGCCCCATGCCTACCATGACACCCTAACGCCGGCGAGAGAGACGGCCTCGTTAGCCGAATTTCGGTGATTAAAAGCAGGCTGGGGGGTGATTTGGGGTACCCTCGCACCCCCGGGTACCCACCTGGTGCCGGGGCCGCCCCACGATGGAGGGGAAGACGGCGCGGGGGGCATCGTCGCCGGCAAAGCCGGCTTTGCAGAGGCCGGAGCCGTTGTCGCAGACCAGGTGCTGTAGCATTCATGTTTTCACTGTTATCTTCTCTAAACCAGTGTGTCTCTCTTCAGTTGTACTGCTCAGAAATGCAGTTAGAGCTCTGCTTTTAAGACTTCTTAATTGTCCATCTCTTGTCTTCCCCACTTCTCTCTCTTTTTAGATGTTCCACTGATTCTTTCATGTTTCCCTTACCATTGTTCTCACCTTTCACTGTCAGAATTCTTTTTGTGACAAATATCTTCAAAGGTAGGCACTGCTGTGCAGCAGAGGACAAGTGGTGTTTTTGAACCATTGCACTGTGCCTTTTGGCTCTGTTATGACAGGAGGTGCAGCCACTCAGCTTTTCTGTTGCCGCTGTGCAATTTCACTTGTGCGGGCAGGGGGAAGGCAGGCGATGCCCTCTCGTCTGGTCCTGTCTCAGCAGCCCCTTGTTGCTCTGCCTTCTCATCCTTTCCCAAAAATGGGGAAAAAAAAATATATAGCCCTTCCTGGGGGGTGCCCCCCTCCACCGGCGGATGCGCTCCTGAATCCAGAGGGAAGCAGGCGAAAACCTCACAGGAGCCCAAAAAGTAAAAATAAAACCCCCAAATTGTGGGGATTTCTGGAAGAGCACAACCCGCTTTGGCCGCAGCCCAGCTCTCGTCGCCTCCACGGAAGCCCCCGGTTGCGGGGTCGTTTCGGGGTTGGCACCCCCATCCCTGTGCCATGCCAACCAAGTCGGGGCCGCCCCATAAGCGCCGGGGCACCCCGAAACACCCCCCTGGGGTGTTTTACTTCCCATTCTCCTACAAGCAAAGGGGAAACCGGGGCTGGGCAGTACTCACCGCGGACGCGAAAGCTTTCCTCTGGGACCGAGTCCCGATGCTCCTTTGGTATAAATACCAGCGAGCCCGTGAAACCTCAGAGGCGGATCCTCTCTAAACAAAGACCCTAAATAGGCTAAGTGATGGTGTGTTAGCCATATGGCCATATAAGGTGTTTTATTTCATTAAATTGACCTTGGACTGATGGTAGGACCCAGCACGGTTAATTATTGTAAGAAAAATGTATGCGGGGATGCTTGGGAGGCAACATCCCATTTGTGAGTCTGTTCCTTTTATGCTCCGCTCCGATAAACAAGTGAGACACAAGTCCTTATAAGTGACGGTCTCGGCAAAAAGGAGGTGGAAGCGTCTCCGGTTCATGGGGAGAATGTGGAGAAACCCCACCTCGGTGGAGGTGGGTGTCGGGGCTCTGCCGTGGGGGACACCCCACAGCCGGGATGGGAATTTGGCATCACTGAGACACTGGAAGTGCACGGGGTTGGTACATCGCCTCCTCCCGGCCTCGGTTCCCCTGTGTCTCCCCAGCATCCCACACCTTTGGCATGTCTCTCCCTGGGTTGGTTTGTTGGTTTTTTTTTTCTCTCCGCCCCCATTTTTGGGCTTTTGGTGCCCCAAACCCCCCCATCCCCCAAATCCTCGGCTTGCGTGGGGACAGGACTTGTGGGTCCAAAGCCCAGCCCTGCATCGGGGTGCCCCCAGCTCTCATCCCCTCCCCGGGAGGATTTTGGAGGCAGGATGAGACCAGACCCCCCAAGGGGAGACGGAGGATGCTGTCCCCTGTCCCCCCTGCCCGAATGCAGCATGGGGGGGGGGACCGGAGCCACCCCCGGCCCTGGGGATGGACACAGCCTTGGCAGGCGGCGAGCAGAGCCGCAGCAGCCCACAGCCCTCGCAGAGGCCAACCAGCGGCTGCCAAACTCCCAGCTGCCTTTTTAAGGGCAACGGTCCCGCACGGGGGACATCTCCCCAAGTCCCCGGGGCAAGGGGGAGGCGGGAGAGATGCTCCAGAGCCAGCACTGGGGACTCGGGTTGCAGATGGGGAAACTGAGGCACGGGGCGACAGCGCTGCCGCCTGCTTTGCGGGGTGCCGAGCTGTACTCAGGGCAGGGACACCGAGGCACCGGTGCAGCAATAAGGACCAAGAGCTGCAGGGTCCCACCACCACCAGAAGACAACCAAGACCCCTGATGTCGCCCCCCCCAACCCCAGAGGGAGGGAGGGGACTCCGGGCTGTCACCCCACCGGGCAGGACAGGGACACGGTGTGTCCCCAGCCAGGCCATCCCACTCGCACCGCCAACAATGTCCCCCCAGTCCATGGCTCTGCCCCGGTCACCCCCCTTCCTCCGGGGAAAGCTCAGCACACAGGGGCAGAATTTGTCCCCCTGGCCCCGCACTTGTCAGTGTCCCCCACCGCACGCCCCGAGCCTGCGGGGACCTGCTGCCGCGTCATGTCCCAGCTCCGT